TTCTGAAGAACAAGAAGAGCAAAGCACGAACATGAGTGCAGAATCAGAGGAGAGTGAAGCTCAACAGCAGTAAGGTAAAACATACCATTTCCTGTGTTTTTACTACAAACCATAAATATCTCCTTGAATGTACTCAAAACTCAAGTGGACAGAGCCTTGAGCCAAACTCAATGTTGGCCTTGCTTAGAGGAGCAGATGGATCTGAGGAGCCTCATGGTCTTTTCCAGTTAGACCATTTTGTGATCCCATGTAAGCAGCAGGGCTGGTAGATATGGAACTAAGTTCTATTTTCAAGAAGTACAGAGGTGCAGTAACTAAGGTGCAAGGCTGCTAATACTGTAAGCTGCTACAGAGAGAAACAATTGAGTGATTGTCAGAGTTCTGATAGAGATGTGAGTTTGTCACTTCCTAGCTGGAAAGACAAAGGGAAAATATATTTTGATATGAATGCGCTTCTAGTTGATTTTGCTTTATATTCTGGGGTGCATCAAACACAGTATAACCAGTTGGTCAAAAGAGCTGATTATTCCACCATATTCAGCATTGGTGTGGCCTCACCTGGAGTACTGTGTGCAGTTCTGGGCCCCACAGTTTAAGAAGGATGCAAAGGTCCTTGAATGCGCCCAGAGGAGGGCAACAAAGCTGGTGAAAGGGCTGGAAGGAATGTCCTGTGAGGAGCAGCGGAAGACTTTGGGCTTGTCGAGTTTGGAGAAAAGGAGGTTGAGAGGTGACTCTTTACAGCTTCCTGAGGAGGGGACATGGAGAGGGGGGTGCTGAGCTCTTCTCCCTGGGATCCAGTCACAGGACGTGTGGGAATGGTTTAAAGCTGCACTGGGGAGGTTTAGACTGGACATCAGGAAGCATTTCTTTACCCAGAGGGTGATCAAACACTGGAACAGGCTTCCTAGAGAGGTGATCGATGCCCCAAGCCTGTCAGTGTTCAAGAGGCATTTGGACAAGGCCCTTAACAACATGCTTTAACTTTTATTCAGCCCTGAAGTGGTCAGGCAGTTGGACTAGATGATTGTTGTAGGTATCTTCCAACTGAAACAGTCTCGTCTCCCCTTTGTCTCCCCTTTGTCTCCCCTTTGTCTCCCCTTCGTCTCCCCTTCGTCTCCCCTTCTTTCACAGAAGGAAGAAATAATTTATCTAATGGGTATTAGTTTTAAGTTGTGTATTTTTTCTGATATTTTCTAATTGTCATTATCCTTCTCTTTTAAGTTACTTCTAGCACTGGAAGCAAACATATAGAAGGAAAAATGGATCCGTTGTTTTGCCAATCAGAAACTAACAGCTTTCGACGTTTCACCCCTGAGTCCTTGGCAGCAATTGAGGAAAGAATTGCTAAGAAAAAAAGGCAGCAAGCCAAAGTTAACCGGGAGAATAAGGACCAAGGAGTTGAAGATAAACTAACCCCTCAGCTTGATCTGAAAACCTGCAAAAAACTGCCGTCTCTGTATGGGGATATTCCTGTGGAGCTCATTGGGGAACCCCTGGAAGATTTTGATCCATACTACAGTGATCACAAGGTTAAAACTTTCAAAAATATTTTGTTATTTAATTTTGTTTGCTGAACTCTTAAGAGATAGTAAAAGCTCTGTTCAGGAGATTCTGTTTTTTGATTGTTCTGTAGACAGGTCTTCAAACATTACTAGCATTTTGGGTGGCAAGAGTGCTAAGGTATACTCCACATTATGTAATGGAAAGATATTTTAAGTTCCAGTCAGCAGTCAGAATTAACTATGAAAACAGGATACACTTGATAGATGCACTTTGGTAGGAAATATATTCTAGGATAACTGATGCTTTGTCTTCCAGGGCAGTTTCTGTGATGTCTGTGGGGCTGAACTCAACTGTTGTATAAACAGTGCCTGTCAAACAGTAGATCATGCTGGAATTGCTGACTTACTGCAGATGCTTTTGCTGAATTACAGATATTATACAAATTAAGGAAAACACATCTGAGAGATTTCCAGGACTCTATGTAGCAAAACCATGTATTTTCATTATAGTAAATTAATTTTCTGTTATTTTATGTCTCAGCAGCTTTGTTTATTGTACCATATTTATATTGCATATACTCCATGCTATTGCAAAGTGTTTTGTGTTGTTGCCTATAGGAGTGTGTAAGGTAGATGCTCTAGGAATCCCTTCTAAATTAAATGTCTATTGTATGATTGCTTACTGTTGAGGGGGTCTTGACCTGAAGAGCAGAAGGTTCCATCCAGTCCTATGTTACTGTCTTTTATGTGTACCAGCAAGTCACTGGAATACAATAATTTAATCAGAGAACATGCAGAAAGCTTTGTTCTTCCAGAGATGTTTTTTTTCCTCAAAGCGATCAAAGTGATATTCTTGATGAAGAGAAACTAAGGCTGATTCAATTGAAGAAATGTGCATAAAAGTTAGTGAACTGCGTTTTTAATTTAAGAAATTTCATTTTTTACTTCATGTGGTAAAAGTGGTGAGCTGCGTGGACCTTAATGTAGCTTAGAGGGAATTTACAGTGTTACTTGATAATTTAGAGACATTTCAAAATTAAAATTTTTACTTCGACTGAACTGGATTCTGGCAGTCCAACACAATATGTATTTTGTAAATAATCTTTAGTAGCCTATAAAACTATCCAAGAGTAAGGTAATTTTGAGTATGATTAACACCATTGTTGCAGTCTCAGAATAGTATCCTTTAATTACTTTGACCAAGTGAATATGATTACTTGCTTTGCAAATTCATCCTCATTACTACTTCTTTCTCACAGGCAATAATGAACTTTTAGTTAGCTTCTGTCTTTCTTTCAAAACATTGTATCATCAGGTCACAGCTCCAAATAAGAATACAAGAAAGCTTTACTCATAATTGAAATTAGATATAGTTCTAGATGCAGATTTGAAATCCTAAACGTTTAATTTTTGGGGAAAATTTTGTTTCATTAAAGTATTTAATATACTGTGAATTTTTTTTATAGACTTTTATGGTGATAAATAAAAGGAGGACTATTTTCCGGTTTAGTGCCACGCCTGCCTTGTGTATAGTTGGTCCTTTTAATCCAGTCAGAAAAGCAGCAATTAAAATTCTGATCCATTCATATCCTTTTGTTGGTTTCCCTTATTTTAGTTTTAAAATATACTGTACCATTTTCTGTCATTCTGTTCCTCTGTTCATGTTAATGTAAATGTAAGCTTATGTGGCTATGATAGAGATTTTTAAAAAGTGATTGAATCTTATTTTAAAACAGCCAAGATATTTACATGGTGTTGGTGCAAGTAAAAATGTCAAAAAGCTCATATTTAAAGTCAGATTTGCAGATATTGTTATGAAACAACATTTAGAGGCTACTGTATGATATTTTAACCCTTTTTCCAGAACTTTTTCTAAATCTCTACTGTAGTGACAAGCTTAAATTTAGGGGAAAAAACCAAACCAAACCAACACAGTGACTGACTCCCTAGTTATTAAAACATGAAGGATGTGATTTATGGCAATGCTTTGCTGAAAGAGTCTGATGTTATCCTAAGAAATGTATTTCACACTCAAGTTCAGAAAGTTCTGAAAAGTACCCATTTTTTAATATTTTTGCAAAAACATAAACTTAGTTTGGAGAATAGAAAATTGTGAAGGAATGCAGGTCCAAAACCATAGGCTGAGTAGTTTCTGCTCTTTCTGCCAAACATCTGTTCTCATTTGGAATTATTAATTTGTAGCAATAGGTCCTTTTATGGGAACTCATGGCTGACTGAATGCATATTCGTGCTATTAGAAATTACTAAATTTGCTGTTCGTTTTCAAATAAACGCTAAATTTAAGGCCGATGCTCATTTAAAATAAAACCCCACTTTCATTAGGTGACAAGTGAACTTTCATGAAAGAATATTATTTCTTATGCATGTTTTCATCACTTGCCACATAAAATGAGAAAGCTTTCTGAACTCGTGGCAGAGCATATGTGTCTTTTGTAAGAATGTATATATGGACTCCCAATTTCAAAGAACACTGATTATTGATAATTAAGCTTCTTCATCTGGTTTTCCTATGCTTAAAACCCTAGTTGTTAGGGGTTGTGGCCCATTTCTCTTTATTCCATGCTCCTGCTGGGAAGAAATGGAGGTTTCTAAAGTTTCAAATAACAGTAGACATCAGAGGACTTAGATTTTTTTTCGTTTATTTCTGTTCCTCATCTCTACTGTCAAACATATTATGTCCCATTTATGTCCTAACTTCCAAAACTATCTCCACATACAGATAATTCATTGTTATTTTTAACCCATGAAGTTTACCTAGCTGAGCAGAAGTTTGATCTGACATCAGTTTCTTTGGAAAACACATGAAAACTCCTGAGCATATTCAGAACCAAAGTAATTATTTGAATATCTGTTTGGATTTTTTTGTGTGTAAATCAGCAACTTTTCTAAACTTCATTGTTTTATAATGTAGCACGTTTACCTTAACTTATTATTCACATTATTTGTTGGCTTTATTACATGTACTGTGGTACTTAATTTTGCTTCCATGGCTATAACTAAGCTTCAAGAAACACTTGACTGGGCTGAGTAAGTATCTCAGTTGTCATTTGTTCACTCTTTTTCTAAGGATACTAACATGATGGACTGAAAAATGTAAATAATGTGGTGATCCAACTGTGGGGCTTGAAAATTCTCAGACAGACCTCTGAGGAACATTTAGGATTATTATTACTATATCACACAGTCTTCTGTGGAGCTTCAGTGCCTTTTCTTAGAGGCTTACGCCATATGCATTTTGCTCGAAGTTGGTTAATTTTGCCTTCTGGTGTAACATAGAAGGTTGCCCCATTTTTCCTTTTTAAAGAGACTGTGCAGCAGGATTCTAACTTAATATATCTCATTCTAAAGCAATAACCTGAATGTCTGTTATGGCCAGCTCATGCAAAAAGTATAAAGAGATAAATATTTATTCTATTCTTTCTTGCTGTTTCTGGGGGACACTGCTACTTCAGTTGTTTGCATTAGGAAGCCATTTATTTACAGTGTCTTGTTACTTTTTGTAATTGTGCACTGTATCCAGTGTAATTTGAGTTCATGTTCTATCATTAAATCTTGAAAATGTGCCTGGAGCCTCAGAGGTTCTATAATTTTAATTCCTCTTATTTTGGGGTAAGCATGTTGATAAAGATAGCTTAATTTTATGTAGAATTTCTTTCAGTTACAGAGTATTTGTCAGAATAAATTTATAAAATGTGCTAACTTTATAGGCTAAAATAAGTCTCTACTGTTATTTTTCTGCCAAAATGTTAAGGCTTTAATATTTTCCAACCTGGTTTAGAACATAAACATAGTGTTAAAAATTTTTTCATAAAGAAATGTGAGCTATCCTTCACCCAGAAATAGAATGGTATGCTTATGTGAACGTCTGTGATTATAGATTTACATGGAAATCTTACTAAAATACAGGAAGGCATCTTCTTATACTCACGATGTTTCTGAAAGTAATGTAACCTGTCCTATTTTACTTCATATTTTCTACCTTCATCTCCATCCAGTGATTAAATCATAGAAAAGGTAGAAATTTGCCTGAATGTGTCTCAATCTCATTAGTATTTTTATTTCTATAACTTTATTATATGCTTTCCTTCTCAGATATCTTTTTGCTAGCATATATACTGGTGAAATATTGATAAAAATATTAGCAAGAGGATTTGTTTGGAATGAATTTACCTTTCTTCGAGATCCGTGGAACTGCTTGGATCTTGTTGTTATTGTCATAACGTAAGTAAAACTCAGTTGTACTTTTACACTCAAGGGACAAACACACAAATAAAATGCTATTTGATATTGCTGAAGTTTGTTAGAGTGGTTGACATCTTACCTGCTTAAGAATTACTGTGGTTGAATCATCCTTTGCATATCTGCAAAGAGGAAAATAGTCATGGACCTTAATGCAAGACCTAAATGCAAAGCTCATCTTGGAACTGTTCGGCTGTTCTCAATTTAGTATGTATTTAAATTTCGTTAAGAAGCGATTGCATAGACAGCTGAAATGAAGCATGTCTCTTTGTATTGTCTTAGTTGTACTCTGGATGAGATGAAACTCATTTGAGAATGATCCAAAGTGGGTCACATGGTGTTGAATGACATGGTGATAAATAACAGGTGAAATCCCAAGAATGTAAAGTGATGCTCAAGGAAAAACAGACCTAGCTTTACATACACAGTTATGGGCTCTGAAATAGCTTTCACTTGTTGGGAAGACTATGTTGGAGTTAAAACAGACAATCTTGTGAAAACACCACTCTAGTATGCAATCATGGTCAGAGAAAGAAATAGAAAATGAGGACATTATGGGTAAGAAATAAAGAAAGAAGCAGAACACATACTTATTTCACAGTGTGACCTGTATTTTTCTTCAGGACTATAAGTAGTTTTACTCCTGACATCTGGAAAGATGACAGAATTAAAAAATATGCTGAGAATACGTATATCTTGTATTCCACATAATAAGAAACTAGATAGAGTAAAACTCTCATGAAAAAAATACAGAGCAGGAACATGTTTGAAGTCTGTGGCACAGAGCCAAAAAGAGAATAAATAATTTATTTTTTTCTACTACAATGAGAGCTAAAGGCACCAAATAAAGTTGTCAGATGGCAGAATGAAAAAGAAGGGAATAGCTTTTTGCGCTATGTAGGCATACTCCCATAGGAAGTTGTGGATGCAAAAGACTTAGTTGCATTCAGAAGGCTTCTGGACGAAAACACATTAAGGATTATTTTTAACACAAAGATACTATGTCTTGTTCAGGAAGTCCCTGAGCTATAAATTTGCTGGAAGAATTAAATCTAGGAACCATCACGGCCTTGATTCTAAACTCCCGTGTAAGCATCTGTTGTGGGTCATTCTTGAAGACAGGGTAATAGGCCAGATGGGTCACTGCTGTGGTCAATTTTAAATTAATATCAAAACCAACTGGCTAGGTGGACAAGAAATGAGGAAGAAACCAAGTCAGAATTTGCATCTCAAATACAGAATGTTAATCTGGAAGGTAAAATATTCTTACTCGCAGCAGTGAACAGATTCATTAATGACCAGTCCCAGAGCTTTCAAAGCAAATCTCTGTCATTTAGCATTTCTGAATAGTTTTCAGTTGTCTTGTTCTAATTTATTAGCAGTGTAGAGCTATTTAGATTGGAAGGGACCTCTGGAAATCATGTGGTCCAGCTCCATGCTAAAAGCAGGACTAATTTAAATTAGGTTGCTCAGGACCTCGTCCAGTCAAGTTTTGAGTTTCTCTAAGCACGAAGATTCAACAGCCTCTCTGAGCCACCCGTTCCAATGACATTGTGAGGGTTTTTTTCTCCCAAATTTCTAATTAAAATGTCTTGTGTAACAACTTACATCTGCTGCCTCTCATCCTTTCATGGTGAGCTCCCAAGAACAGCCTGACTCCATCTTCTCTAAGCCCTTACACTGGGCAGCTGAAGATAGCAATAAGATTCCTACTCCATTACCCCATTAGCTTGCTCTTCTTCAGACTTAACAAATCCAATCCGGCCTAACAATTTAACCGTCTAATTGTTTTTCTGCCCCAGCTTAGAGCCCTGGTTGGACCTGCTCCAGTATGTAAAATGTCTTGCTTGCCCTGGAGAGCTCAAGGCTGGACACAACACTCCAGATTCAGTGTCAGAAATCACTTCCTTCAGTATATGAGCTAGACTCCTCAACATAGAAGCTAGACTTGTGCTAATCTAGCCCAATACGTTCTGTGTCACAAGGGTGCTTTGCTTATTCATGTTTAATTTGTCTGCCCTGATCCCAGGTCCTTTTCTGCAAAGCTGCTCATTATCCAATTTGCCCTCAGCTCCTACTTGTGGTCATGCTGACTCAGGGGCAAGACATTACCTCTGCTTTTGCTGAACTTTATAAGGTTTCTACAGCCTGTAACTCCAGTCTGTCAAGCTTGCTTTACAGAGCAGCCTTGCCACCCAGTACTCCCCACCCCAGTTTAGTATTTGTGAACTTGCTGAAGGCAAACTCTATTTCATTCTTCAGGATGTTAATGAAATGGTCAAACAATATTGGCCCCAGGACTGACCCATGAGGGATGCCACTAGTAACCTGCTGCCAGCTAAACTTTGTCCCTTTGATCACAGCACATAGATGCATGGATGATATTTCACTTCCAGAGATTTAGATGCTAGACTCTGGGACCTGGGAGGCCTGAGAGCAGACCTCACTGGTAAAGACCAAATCAAGTCAGTGTTGATTTGGTTTCATTTCAAGTTTTACATGTCCTTTGTCACTAGGTTCCCTCCCTCCTTGAGCAGGTCCACAGTTTCCTTAGTCATCTTTTCACTGCTGATGTACTTAAAGTAGCCCTTCTTGTTGCCCTTCATATCCCTTGCTAGCTTCAACTTCAGCTGAGTTTTATCTTTCCTTGCTTCACCCCTGCATGCCCAGCAATGTCTTAGTGTCCCTTCACAGAGCTATCTCTTCTTCAACCTTCTGCACACTTCCTCTTTGAATATGAGATTAGTCAGGAGTTTCCTGTTCAGGCAAGACCATTTTCCGCCATATCCACTTGACTTTCTACAGAGTGAAGTGCGTTGTTCCTGTGCTTTGAAGAAAATACCCTTGAAGATCAACCAGCTGTTCTGGGGGCCACTTTTCCCTTTGGGGCAGTTTCTGATCCCTGAACATGCTGAAATCTGCAGTCCTAATGTCCAAAATTTTTATTCTGCTGTTCATCTTGCTTACTTTTCTGGGGGTCTTAAAGACTATCTCATGGGATCTGTAGCAAAGGCTGCCATCAACTGTCATATCCCTGACTGGTTTTTCCTTGTTTGTAAATAATAAGTTATGTACTGAGATGTCATCACACACATATGTATGTATATGAACAAAGTATTCTTATGGGTAATCTATACACCACGAAGGAGCTTACACATTATTAATCATCAACAGCTATCAAGAAGTCTAGCAGCTGAATGAACAATTTCATTTTATGATCCTACTTTTCTACTCATGCTCCTAATTAGTTTGTGTTCAAGCAGATATAAGCACTTTGCAATATAGTATCTCCTTCTGTTATTTTGGGATCCTATCATGCAACAAATAAAAATATTTAGAAATTAACTCAACAGTTAGCTCAAGTGCAGTTATTACTTAAGGTACTTGAAAATTATTTAAACTTACAGGCTAGGTAAAGCTGTAGCATTCTTATCTATTGCTGACAAAAGTCATGCTTTGGGTGGGAGATCGCATAGATCACCTCCAGAGGTCTTTTCCAACCAATGTTTCTCAGATTCTGTTATTGAGACCTTTTATTTTACGGATTTCTGTTACCAGTTATGACCTTGCCATATGATGAGTCATAATTTGTGTCCATTCTGACATAAAAGAAGTCTTATAAAATATGAGGTAACCTGTTAAAGTGCTGTATAGGATATGCAACTCTTAAGATACTAATTTTCTGAAATTTTCAAATTGTTGAAATGATTGAATTGAAACTGGTTTCAATACTCAAGTTCTTTGCTGACTTAAATAAAAGTTAGAAAGACAGCCATGTGGTACAGAATTAATGTATTGTAGACCTAGTATTGCTCAACTCCCTTCACATAAAGTGTATATTGAGTAGTTTTGAGATAGCTGCAACGCGCACTTTCATATAGTGTTCTAAATCAGATTAGCCTCAGTATGACAGGGTGTGGTTATGACATTGAAGGCTTTGTATTTATTTGACATTTTGATGGATAAACACTTCAAAAGTTAAGCATCCAATTCCACACTAAGTAAACATTTGCCGTATTTCTTTTCAGAGGCACTATGCAAAAGTCTCATTATTTTATATCAGTACCTAGAAATGTACTTAGATTCCTAACTTTAGACATCTACCTTAGGACATATTTGACCTATATATTTTCAGTAACTCATTCATTACTGTGTGCTCAACATGCATATGCTCTGAAAAGCTAGGTCTTTGTCATTCAGTTACATGGTGGTTTAATTTTATAGGTATATTACTATGTTTAAAAGTACGGGCAAGGTTTCAGCTCTTCGAACTTTCAGAGTACTGAGGACTTTGAAAGCTATTTCAGTAATACCAGGTAAGGAACAACATGTCTTACTAATTTTCCCTCTGGTCCAGCAGTATGCTGTTTCTAATTTCTCTCCTGTTCTTGTCTTCAGTTTTCTGGTCACTTTTTGTGAAGGTTAACAGGATGCCAAGGTGTGACTGTTTTGCAGTCTGTAGTAACTCTCAGCAGCATCTTAATAATGTTTTTTATCATCTTTCCTCAAAATGATTTTGATGCAGGCAAATCTTTGTATTTTCTGCTTTTTCTATCATATCACTAATGTTCAATTTTGCTTAGCCCAGTGCCTTTATCCTTTACTTTTCTCTTTCCTGAGCAGCACACCCTATTCAATATATTGTCTTAACATGATATGGCTATACCACCGTATTTCTGATTTCATGTTCTAGTTCATTAGCTTAATCCTCTATGATTTATTTGCCAGAATGCTGACTTCACAATATTTCAGAGTTTCATTTGCTTGTTTACGGACAACAGCCACTATCTGGATTTAGCATAATATTTTGAACAGTATTTTGCATATGCTGTCCACATGGTCGATATTTTTGTAAGTCGTGGCAGTAATTAGGATACCAGAGTATGGATTTCAGAGTCTAACTGCAAAAACTTGTTTGAAAATCTATAAATTACTTATATCCCATTGTCATAATGTATATTAACTTTACCATTTCTATGTAATTACAAATATATTTTCGATTTTGCTATGAAAATATAACAGGAATTAAACATAGAAGTATTTAATTTTTAATGTCAAAACCACCCATCAATACTTTTTCTTTCATATTCAACATGGAGAACAGACATTAAATGAAATTTTACTTTTTTCTTATGAAGACTTCTAGAAAAATCCTGGAAATCACTCTCTGCCTATGTCATATTTCAAATTCAGTTATTCTGTCAGAATATTGGTCTTCAGTTTATGTATAATCCATTTTCACAGAATCACAGAATGGTTGAGATTGGAAGTGACCTCTGGAGGTCATCTAGTCCAGCCCCCGTGCTCAAGCAGGGCTACCTAGACGTGGTTGCCCAGGACCATGTCCAGACAGCTTTTGAATATCTGCAACGATAGAGATTCCACAACCTCCCTGGGAAACCTGTGTGAGTGCTTGGTCACACTCACAGTAGAAAAGTGTTTCCTGATATTTGGAGGGATCCTGCTGTGTTTCAGTTTGTGCCTCTGATCCTCTCACTGGGCACCACTGAAAAGAGCTTGACTCCATCATCTTTGTACCCTCCCTTCAGGTATTTATAAGCATTGATGAGACCGCCCCTGAGCCTTCCCTTCTCCAGGCTGGACCCCCCCCCGCCACTTCCCTTCTCCAGGCTGAACAGTCCCAGGTCTCTCAGCCTGTCCTCACAGGAGAGGTGCTCCAGTCTCTTCATCATCTTTGTGGCCCTTTGCTGGACCTTCTCCAGTATGTTCATGTCTGTCTTGTAGCCAAGAACTGGATGCAGTACTCCAAGTGTGTCCCCACTAGTGCTGAGTAGAGGGGAATGATCCCCTCGCTTGACCTGCTGGCCATGCTTTGCCTAATGCAGCCCAGGATTCACATGAATTCTTTTGGACCCCGCCATTCACCTTATTTGTCACAAGGCAACATTACTGGCTCATCTATCCACCAGAACCCCCAGGTCCTTTTCTGCCAAGCTGCGTCCCAGCTGGGTGGTTGCCCCAACATATGTTTGTTTCCTGCCCAGTGTCATAAACATTCTTTTGCTTTTAAACTGGTGACATCTGTAAGGCGTTATCTTCTAAGACAGAATTCCCTGAGTCAGCAGAAGCTATCCCTTATTGTAATGTGTCTTTGGCACAGTGTGAAGTACTTGTTTAATGTTAATCAAGCACAGAAATCTGTCCATATTCATTGAAGTTCATAAGAATTTGCTTAGATGCCATCTTAATTTAGAATTTTCAAGTTAGCAGTATTACTGTTAGAAGGAAGTAAAAGCCAAATAATTTATGTTTAGGAAATTTAAGTAAAAATACTTTACTCATTCCTATGTTTTATTTTTCCTCATTTAATACTCTGAAGTTATAAAACGATTTACACTGATTGTTTTTAACATTGCAACTGTTGTATATTGTCATGTGGGAATGCTACTGCATTCCTCTTCTCATTTTGCATACTATTGAATCTTATTTTTCTAGGTCTGAAAGTCATCGTAAATTCACTTATTGAATCTGTTAGAAAACTCACTGACGTGTTGATCTTGACTGTTTTTTGCTTGAGTGTATTTGCTCTAATAGGCCTCCAGCTTTTTATGGGCAATTTAACATCCAAATGTGTCCTCAATAATGCTACGTACAATGACACATTATGTATGGATGCCAAGATATATGTACCAAATGATGAAGGTAAATTTTATTATTTTCTCCCTTTATGTAATCTGTGTATCTTTCTATGTATGTCTTGTTTTTTCACAGAGATGTTAAAATACGGTTGCATGTATTTCTTGCAAGAAGATATGTCCTTCCATTTGCACAAGTAGTAATATGAAGTCTCTGGGTCAACTGAATGTGAGATTAGTGAATCTTGGATTTGGAGAAAGATTAGCAGTCTGTGGGATAGAAGGGACTGAGTTTTCTATAAGCATTTGCTTCTTTACCTATGCACATTGCACAGGGATCCTAATTTTAAGGGTACTGCACAGATAATGATTTTTTCCATCACTTTATATCGTTCAGGGATTTTACCTACTTCTCACACAGATTCTTATTTTTAACCAGAGATGAAATAAAATCTTACATTGCGAGTTGTGCAATTAGTTGTTTTTTTTTTTTTTTTAATTGCCATAAGGACAGATCTACTGAGAAACAGCCCTATATGCCGTTTGTTGTGAAAGGAGTCTTTCACAGAGATTTGTTCCATCAGTGTTTTTTAAAGTGCAGTAATGTATGGTTTACTGTCAGAGTGCTGTAGGAACTGACAACTGATTTTATGATTCCTTGCTAATTTTTTTTATTATTATTAGATATCTGCTACAGAATGAATAAATCTTCTGAAATATTGCTCTGTGGGTTCAGTTCAGATCCTGAGTAAGTGAACAAAACAGTTTTAGTACTTTCTTATTTTTTCCTCCAGATGTACTGTGGTTTATTTTTGACCTAAAGGAATGGTGATGATTTTTCAGGAGAGTGGAATGTGTCTGTGGGGGTTATTAAATTAAAAACCAGATATTTAACATCAGAAAAAGAATGAAGTAAAGTACTAGGACGCAAGCAATTATATATGTGCTTTGTTGCTAACCACTGTAAGCCTAATGGTGATGTAGAATGATATAAAGGAGGAGAGTAAACGATCAGTAAAGAGTTGTGAGATATTAATAAGTTCTCCTCTCCTCATCTTGTAAATTATTTAAAAGTAAACATATTTCCATTTTTTTCCCCTCTCTATGTATTTGTTTGCATGTATCCTAAATCAGTGAAGAGTTTCTGTCTAGTCAGAAACTAGACAGAACTAGAGTTTCTGTCTAGTTTCTTTGACTAGACAAAAGGATTTCTAGGATTGTTTGATATAAATCAGCCCTTCTGGCAGAGTTATATTGGGGAATCATGAAACAGACTTTTAGATAAACTGAATAAATCTGTGTTTGATGTTGTGTACTGGATGCTTTCAGGTACAATCTAATACTGCGAGTAAGTATTGTTTAACATTTCTTTTGTGGTTAGCAAAGAGTGCCCAGAAAACTATAGCTGCAAGAAGATTGGGAAGAATCCTGACTTTGGTTATACAAGTTTTGATCATTTTGGCTGGGCTTTCCTTTCTTTATTCCGTCTAATGACACAGGATTACTGGGAGCGTCTCTACAGACAAGTAGGTACTTTTATTACCTGCTAGAATGACTTTAGACATGCAGTTAGAGCTTTATGTCCACTAGAGAAATCTGCACCTGTTTTAACATTACTAATATCAGATTTCTTTTCAAATCAACGTAAATATTAAGGAAGTAGCTTCAAGTGACTAGGTTGTAACACCTTCTGCAAGTGATGTTGGATGGGAGCAATCCTGCTGTCAATGCTTATAGTTCTGTTGGAAAACACACTTGGGTTGGTGATTAATAGTTAAATGTTAATATGTGACTACCAAACCATTGGAGTATATAGTAGATCCAGCTAGTGAGCTCACTGCTGCTGCAGGGGGTATGAGGACTTGTTTACCTACTCTGTTTCTCTTCCTTTTAAGTCCTGACTCCTCACCAAACCTTTTGGCTCAATATATACACTTTTATTTCAGATAATTTTTGACAACGGATACTAAAAAAAAATAATGGAGTATTTATGTTTTGATTCAGAGAGTTGAATGTAACTTTTAAATTCTGGGGTTTTTTGACAAAAACGGTACAAACACTGCATGTAGAGAACTCCTTGGATCCCTTACATCTCTGCAGTGCCTGCACTAGAAGGGAATTATCCTCCGCCTTGTTCTGTAACTTTCATGTGTTCTGCTTTAACTTTTTCTAGCAACCTTTATTAACTGAGATTTTTTTTTAAATGGATACATCTTTTTGCTATTTGGAGGTCGTGTAGTTTTTATTTTTTAATGTCTCAGAGCTTAATTTTGAGCCATCTCCTCTGCTACCATTGTAAAAAATGTACGAATAAGCAATCCATTTTGCCTCTAATTCTCTAATTATAGCATTTTTCATGATTGTTTAGATAATCCTAGCTTTCCTCTTTATTACTGAGTTTTACTAATTTCTTCTGTAGTCACCTTTATATTGCTTTACAGCTGAAGTTGTCTTCTCATAACTTAAACTCTGATGATCATTTGCCCAATTTACTGGGAGAAATTTCATTTAATTTTAAGAATGGAATGACTTAATTCTTCTCTGCAGTATATGGCATCATTAGGAATGCTTGATGGCCTATTACATAAAGGAAGCTGAAATTTATTTACTTGAAGGCCAGGGGAACTCCTGACTAGATGTATTTCTAGACCAGAGGTAGATCCTACTTTGTTTAATGAAAACAGTGCAGTATGTTGACCTTCTGTATTGTATAGGAAAATAAATTGTTTAAAGTTAGATTGAAATTCTGTTGTAAATGTTAGTTTATTAAAAATTTGTTACAACGTTTACCTTTTCCTCACAGACTATCCGTACATCTGGAAAGAGCTACGTTTTATTTTTTCTGGGGGTCATCTTTTTATGCTCCTTTTATCTCTTCAATCTGATTTTGGCTGTAGTAACTATGGCATATGAAGAGCAAAATAGAGCTACTCTTGCTGAAACCGAGGCAAAGGAAAAATTACTTCAGGATGCCCAAAAAATTCTAGAGGCAGAACAGGTTTGTAAATTATTATATATAATATATAATATGTGGTTTCTTTTGCATATATTTGAATATATATAAACATTTCTGTGATACAAACAAACAACATGAGTCCAAGTTAAATCAAGTTAAGTTTTAGGATTTGCAGACTTGACATTGTACAAGAATGGCATGCTGGCAAGTGTATAGCTTCTATGGTATTGCATAGGTGCTTGCACTCTGTGGTTTGCCCCATTCTTGTACACTGCCACTATTGCTGTGTACAAAAATTTCTTTCTCTGGATATTCCTTCTTGCTATTGTTGTGTAGTCTGATGAAGAAAGTATGAGTGGATAAATTTACATCCATAAGAAAAAGTTGTAATTTCTACACTTCCCTGAAATCGGAAGTTCTAATGCTGATAGATTTCAGGATTGATTAAAAATGCAAGCTTTCTGAGAGCCACTGTGCTCAGGTATTTAAGGGGTGTCGTGCCTCTTTTTGAGTGACTTACATGCAGAAGGTCTACCAGTTGACAAGAGCAAGAATAGTCTTTGACCAGGCTAATGCCATCAGTTTCATATTAATATAGAAGGACACCCAAAGACTGCATTAGTTTCTTTGCTGTTGGTTTGGAGAGCTAATAGACACACATCAGATTCCTACAGTGTTTCCTCTTGGCACAGTATTGCGTAGATTCATTCATTCCTTGACTTATACGGGACCAGGGATCACCTTGTTGTTTTTATTTTATTTCTGAGAAGTGAAGCACTGAGCTGATGCAACAGGATAGATCAAAAATTATTGGTAAGACATGTTTTATCTTCTAACTTTTTATAAAAGATACCTCTGATTTACTGCTAACAATCAGAAAAGTCAGACTTGTAAGAGGACATACAAATATTCTTTAGCAACTATCCAATTTCATCGTTAAAGTGAAAGGCACCACCAGTTTACCAAATTCCTCCTCTACAGGTGTCAACAGGCCTGTAATGTTTCTCTGTCTGAAATTCCAGCTTACCAAGCTTGATTTAGGCTTTTCTTTCTTCTTTTTTTCTTTCAAGAGGATTAGTAGTGAAGAAAGGTTTAACCTTTTAGGATTTGGTTCTAGCCCTTAGTCTTCTGTTGTCTTTGGGCTTAAGGTCCTTCCCAAAGCAAGAAAAGGAGAGTGAAAGGATACACCATAATATTCTGTAATTCAGATACAACATACGATATCTAAAGTGGCAAGGACAAACTTTAATTACAGTAGCTGACAAGTAACCCTGCTTTATCTTTCAGTATTCTGAATAGCATTTTCTACTCCTATCTTTTTATGGTCATTTAATATTTGAAAGGTATGAATTGTTAGTGCAAAGCATTCAGATAGCATAATGAACTGTATATGATCCTAGTCCATTTATTGGCATTTGCCTTGTATTACTAGACAGACCTTTGCGGTTTCTTTTACAGATGTTGGCTGCGGGAGAAGGTAATAAGGCCTTACATGCCAGATCTGAAATGTCAGTTGATGACTTGAAAAGTTCACAAGAAAAAGAGATTAAGAAAGAAAAATCTGCTTTAAGAAAAAGCTTAATTTTAGGTGATTGTGACAAAGAGGAGCATCTATTTCATTCACAGCCTAATCACTGCCACAAGAAGCTTGTAAGTATTCAAAATAGAAGATACATTCATTAGACTTGCATGTGATATGACAATTTGATGAGCAGAAAAGATTTGTTTATTTGCAATTTTTTCCCTCCCCCTCCCCGCCCCCCCCC